ACGATAAATGCTACAATGTACATGAAACTCATCATCTTAAGGTAGCGAGTTTCCTTAGATATTATTTTTAAATGGTCTCTGAGTAATGGGTTCCATGTAGGCTATTATTTTATTGTCATTAATATGACTCGTCACCTCGACGTAATGAGTCTATTAATTTTTTTTAAATTGAAAATAAAACTAAATTTTTAAATTTTAAAAAATCGAGGTGACGAGTTCCTTCAAATTCAAAAAACTAACAGTTGATCAACGAGCAGATGCAACAGTCACTTGGAGCTCATCACCTAGAGGTGACGAGTTCTACCAAAATTTTTAAAAAACTAGCCGTTTATAGTCGTTTTGGGTAAGACTATAAATAGGGTTTGGGGTTTTAATTTTTCACCAAACACTGAATCCAAAAATTGCAAAAATTAATACGTTTTGTGAAAATCTCAAAAATGGCAATCCGAGAATATATGTTGCGCCTAGATAATGTCCATGTTTCGCCGATCCAATGCCGGCTAGAAGATGAACAGAATATTTGTAAGCGGGGATGACATATGGAGATTCGCATTAGCGGATGCTGATATATATGTAGCAATCCGATTTACTTTTGTTCATATATGTATTTGGCTTCAAGATGTACTCGATGTTGATTGAGGCTTTGGTCGAACGTTGGTGGCCCGAGATGTACACATTCCATTTCTCAAGTGGTGAAACGATGATTACTTTGGAAGATGTCACTTACCAACTCGGTGTTCCTGTGAATAGAGCCCTCATTGTGAGGCAGAACATTTATGACCTCGAGACGTTGGTTTATCAACTTTTGGGAAAATGACCACCATCCGACGTCATCGAGGGTTATCGGGTACATATAACGTGGTTGGAATTCAAATTCCAAGTGACGATCGACTCTTCTGAGGAAGAGGTTATTTTCGTATCCCGAACATATCTTCTCCAACTAATCGGAGGGGAATTATTATCGGTAATTTGGCGCATTGTAATACCCTAAATCCTGGATTAGTAGTTTGGGTTGACCCAAGACCAATAGATAGAGCTCGAAGGACTTACATCTAATTAAGTTGGAATTGAGCTTGGTTACGACCAAATGTTTAAGGGATGAGAATCATTTTAATATGAGAGAGTTATTAGGAGTATTAAAAGAGTAATTTACCCCTTGTTGATTTTGAAAGTTGAAAACCCCTTTTTATATCATGATTCATGTATCCATTCCCCTTTAATCTCACCAAACATTTTTCCTCACCATCTCATCATTCTACTCATCTTCTTTCTCACTCAAGAGAGCAAAGATTGAAACCTCAAGAATTTCAAGTTTAGTTGGGTTAAATAAAGGTAAGAAATGGAATCTTCATTCCATGAGCTTCATTTTAAACCCTATATTTCAAGTTTTGGTCATAATTTTCAACAATGGATTTTAGGGAAGTTTAGATGCAACAAGTTATTCTACCTCGTTCTTAGTATATTCAAGTTATGGGATATATTCTTAATCATAATTCAAGCTTCTAAATGAGTTCGCCACTCATTTACCTTATTTTTTATCAGTGAAAGAAGTGGGAGAAAACTCAAAAACAAGAGGAAAAGAGAAGTTGACCCTTGGGTGATTTTGGGAAGTTTCCATCAACTAGATCACCAAGGTAACACCTTTCTAACCTTCCAATATCAATTGTAAGCTCTTTTATGCACTAGTGTAGCTTGCATTAGTTTTTGAAGTTTAAGAACATGTTCATGGAAATTAAATTTATATGTTTCTAAGTTTTAAAACGACTCCTAATGACCTTAATAAACTCAAATAAGATACTAATAATGTTTGGGAGCTTTTTTAGGGCCTTTGAAATGGTTGAGAAAGGGTTGAATATGCCCAAATAGGGCATTTCTGGTGCCAATATCGATATTATTTTTAGGCAAGACAAAAAAGCTAAGAATTATTAATTAGAAGTATCAGTACTCAAGTATAGAGTGTCGATACTATAGGCTCAGTCTTGATACCTGAAGAAGGGGTTTCGATACCCATTTTCCAAAATACAATTTTGATACCAATATTCATGGGAGTATCGATACCAAGGGCTGAGTATCAATACTCCCCATAGGGGTATCAATACTACCCGTACTCTTAAAGTTATTTTTAAGTTGTCGATATCGATCTTCTGATAGGGGTATCAATACTCTTGAACTGGTATCGATTGATAAGTCAGTATTGATACTACCTCAGTTTTCTTTATTAAGAAATTGAGAATTTAGAAACATCATTGAGGGACCCAAACCACTAATTAATTCTTCAATAAGATATAAGTGAAAACGATATTGACCAAATTAAATTTCACTTAGAAACCCTATCACTTAGGAAATAATAAGACTTGTCTTGTGTGATGTTTGGGAAACAAGATAGACACCTGAATCATTCTAGTAGAGGGGGACGCTTGTATGATAAGTTATGGCCAACCCCAAGATAGTGCACTAGGCATTTCTTTGCTAACTGGGCGTAGATGCCCTAAGGTTCGACGGAGCAAGTTAGCTGGGCGTGTATTTCCGATGTAGAATTTTGGATTTTCACCCTAGGTAGGATAGAGGGGTGCTTGAGCTCCAAGATGTAGCCCCTCAGCCGCACCATGATGTCTACCTCTATATGTTTGATTTCATTAACATACCCGTATGCTATCATTTATGTTATAAGTATGTGAAATAAAAAATGCATATGGTGTAGTTTGGTTTTTAGTGTGGAACTGAGCTTGTGAGCTCAGCATTCTGAATTTGTTTCCGTGCGTAGGTTAGTAGCGGGAGCTTTTGGAGGAGCCATCGCCTGGACTTTATAGCAGCCATCCGCCAACTCTTGAATATGTCGCCGACTTTTGTTAGTGGGCATGTACTATATATAGATCGTTTATGACAATATATGACTTTATGTGGATTATTTTGTAAACTTATGTTCAAATTATTTTGGTGTGTTTGTAAACAAGTATTATATATTTATTTTGCTAGTTATGACAATATATGAATTTATGTGAAAGGGTATGTTGTTTAAAAGAAATTTTTTGGGTTAGCCACTCAGGTGGTCTGCGTGACGTCGTAGTTCGTTGATCTTTGGGTCGTATTAGATTAGGATGGTACATGTACATTCAATATCTACGATATTTGGAAGACTTCGCTATGTATTGCAATACCATTTGAGGCTCGATGATTTTGGCCTTTCTGTATCGAGAGCTTTGCAAGGCTTTAATTGTCCAACCGAGTCGAAAAACCAATGTAGCAGGCTGTCCGATACTACTACAGTCGTGGGCTTGGTGTCGATTCTATTTTTTGACACCAATTACAACAATCCCAGTCGAGTTTCCGCTGGCTGCAAGGTAATTATTTAACTTCTTTATTTAACATTTTTTTAATTTTATAAATTTAATTATTTTTTATCTGTTTGTAATATTTTTTATTTTTAAATATTTTAGATGGCGCCATAAAATATCCGAGATGAAGGTTGCGGGTTTCATTACACGAGATATGTAACACCCTAATCCAGTCTGACCTGAAGATCCATAGATTATGATGCCACACGAAACCACCAAAATGATCAACCCAAAAATTTTCTTTTTAAAACAGTTTATAACCATCGAAAACGTCCATCATACCTTATACGAAATAAAAATAAAGTTTACAAAATATGGGAGTCTCCCAAATACATACAATATAATCCATGAGTTTGGAAATCAAAATAGAATTATGACTTGAATACACAAGGTCCATATAGAATACATGCCCTCTACAAATACTCAAGACATACTCTGATAATCGGCCAGTCTGAAATGGACAAATGTGATAGGTTCCCTCAGTGATCATTTATTAACATGCGCACGGAAACACATTTCATACACTGAGCACACAAGCTTAGTGCCACAAAAATAACTATGCAATACTACATATGCATTCATTACATGAACATGCATAGGTATATATCAAACATGAGATAGGCCAAGTGGTATGGTCGGAGGAATTTACGCGCATCTCTGGCAACACACTAGCCTATCTAGAACGTGATAGCTTCAGGTAAAGACTGGAATTTACGTGCATCGGAACTTAAAGCCCTTAGTTTACCTCGGATCCTCGAGTGGTCGGGGTGAGGTCAATGTCAAATAGTAGGATAGAATTTGAGCCCAAAATAAGTTGAAATGTGATTTTTATTGAGAACTTGGAAGTTGAGGGTCTTGATGAGTGATTTAGCCATCAATTCAAAGCATGATCTGCACATTTTTAATGGACCTTTGTTTGGAATATGTGAATATAAACGGGACATGAGCAGAATGACTTTGTTGCACAATTAACACGTAGAGATTATATTATTTTTTTAATTAAATAATTAATCTTCTAAATAAATAAATAATGGAGCTCATAGTTTATGTAAGCTGAAAAGAGAGAAAAAAATCGTGTAATCTCAACGTTATAGTAAATTTCCCCTCTTTTCATCTAATTTTTATCTTTCAAAAAATTTCACGTAAAATTTATATATTTTTTTAATGAAGTTTAATATTATCGGCACGAGAACGTTATGATTTTGCAGAATTTTTAAAATCCCAGAACACAAAGAATGAATGAATTTATATCTTAGCCAACCACCCGAATTATTTGACTAAATCATCATTAAGAAAATGCTTAAACATGGGTTAGATGTGGCTTGAGGTGCTTCGTTCTACGTAGCAGTTTTTGGCATTTTGGGAATAATTCTACCAAGAGTTCCGACATGTTATGCATGAGCTAAGACAAGAAGACAACCTTGGTTTTGTCCCAATTCCGTTGTCTGTTTTGAAGATGTGTCGTTGAAAGTAAGCGAATCAAGCCCCCTGCTGGTGACTTGACTCGGCCATCTGATCTTGTTCATACCTTCATGTTTCAACGACTACACCGATATGTATACATATATATCGATAAGTTTCTTCAACAATATATATAATTGAGTCTTCTTCAAATCCAATCCACTCTAGTTAAACCTTTCGGATTGAGAAGCCCAAGCAACATCCATGGCAGGTCTTGAAGTTTCAAGCAGCAGGTTGTTTTCAAAGCGTAATTTTCCGTCGTTGTGTTATCGTCGTGGAATAGTCGGCTCGACCCTTACCGCACCGAGGGTCCATCTCGGTCCAGTCTGTCTCCCGAAGCTCTCCAGCAGAGATTTGGCCGAGGAATTCGAGAAGAGAACCGGTTACCCGATCGCTAGACAGACCACAAAATCATCTGATCGTCAAGTGATCGCCAAGCTTTATGCAATCATGGAGGCTGTTGCGGATAGAGTGGAGATGCATAACAATATAGGATATCAGCGTGATAATTGGAACCGACTCCTTTCGACTTCCATCAACACCATGACTTTAACCGGCGCAACCATGGCCGGACTAGCCGCCACGGTTGCTGCAGAAGGGGCTCCTTTTACGGCACTCAAGCTATCTTCTGTCGTACTTTACGTTGCGGCCACGGGATTGTTGCTGGTTATGAACAAGATTCAACCATCCCAACTCGCGGAAGAACAAAGAAACGCATCGAGATTGTTCAAGCAGCTCTATTTTCAGATTCAAACAACTCTGTCTGTTGGCAAACCAGATACAAGTGACGTTAATGAAGCAATGGAGAAAGTTTTAGCACTCGATAAGGCGTGTCCACTTTCTTTAATGGGTTCCATGCTTGAAAAATTCCCATCGGAAGTAGAACCGGCAAGGTGGTGGCCAAAACAAAGGCAAAAGCAAGTGTCTCTGGGGGAAAACAATGGCTGGAACAGGAAGCTAGAGAAAGAAATGAAGCAAATTGTTAGTGCTTTGAAGAAGAAAGATTCGGCAGAGTACATTGATTTGTGCAACAAAACATTGAAACTCAACAAAATGTTGGCAACATCTGGTCCCTTATTGACCCTTTTAGCGGCATTGGGGTCTTCCTGTGTGGGCACTACTCATTGTTCGTGGCCGGTGACGATCGGAGTCATGGCAGGCGCGATGGCTGCCGTAGTGAACACGGTGGAACATGGCAGCCAAGTCGGGATGGTGGTCGAAATGTATCGGAACAATGCCGGATTCTTTAAGCTGATTGAAGAGAACATAATGTCAAATATGAGTGAGAAAGATGTTGGGAGAAGAGAAAATGGAGAAATCCTTGAAATGAAGGTGGCTTTGCAGCTAGGGAGGAGTTTATCAGAACTTGAGCAACTTGCAGCAATTGCAGAAAGTAGTGAAGAATCTGCAAGCAAACTATTTTGATTGATATATGAGCTTAGACATATATAGTTTTTGTATATATGCATAATCTAAATTTCAAACATTGGTATCATCATATGATTTTAACACATTGGTTGATTCAAGTATATTATAAAGGGTTACATTGGATTTGTTTTCTAAGTTGGAGGGTCACAATGAAAAATAATAATAATATGAGGACTACACTATTTTTTTCTTCAAAAGTACATCAACCTCATGCTTTTTTGCCTAAAAAGAAAGCCTTGCAAAGGTAAGATATACAAGGGAAAAATAAAGTGCCCAAACTTTAAAAGTCCAATACTTAAATAAAAGAAAGATTTCGAATAAACAAAAACATAAGGGGGCTTATAGGAAATAACCCAAAAATCTTTAATATAAAACTCCACGATGCTTACGAGAATCGCGGTCCTTCTTCTTCATTATTGAAAAACTGATCTGTTTTGTGCTTCACGGTGTTGGGGTTCCATTGTTACTGAAAAAAGAAGAAGCTTGCTTTACGCTCCTAATTTTGATCTTTTTTGTGGGTTTCCAATAACGTTTAAAGATGATCCAGTTATTGTTCATTGTGATATTCGTAGAGATGGTGGTGATCGTCTCATTATCCTTCAAAACACCTTTAAGGAAGCTGATATTGCTGATTCTGGATCGGATCAAGAGAGGAAGTGGACCGGTGGTGGTGAAGACGGTGGCCGGAACAGTGGCCCTTGTGATGTTGTCGTCCGTTTACAGCATGATGATGATCAAGAAGCGTTGGATCGAGGATGGAAACATTTCTCAGACCGACGATATTCTCATGGCCAAAAACCTCCTCGAAACTACTCTCATGGGTAATTTAGTTCTTTCCCACTTCGAATTTATTGGAACCCTAACCCTAAAATTTTCTCTTATGTTCTGTAATGCCATATGAAATTCTAAATCCATTTCGAAATTATTATGATTGGGCTTATTGATTGAACTTTGTTACCAAAAATCGCTGTCTGTTCATTGATTTTCGAATCAGTTTGTACAATCTCAACCAGAGAATGCTAGCTATCACATTCACTAGCACTAACATAGAGTTTATTATTAAGTTATTGAGTAAAACAAACAATATTTTACATTCTGTTGAATTATATATATAGAAGTGGAGAAGATTGCTATATTCAATTGCATTTCATATAAGTGGAGAAGATTGCTATATTGAATTGCATTTCATATAAGTGGAGGTGTGCATTTCGTTCCTTGTACTGGACCGATCAGTTCCGAAAAGAATCCTGGTTCTAAATTCTAATACTATCAACATCCTTTTAATTTTTATTCAATTCCCAGAAATGTTTACATTGTTTTTCATGATTTCATGGTTATTTTCTTATATTAATTCCCAAAAGTTGTTACCGTAGGCTACGCTGTTCCGACTCTTCATTTTCTTGACGTATCCGTGTTTGATATTCATGCCCGACATATGGATATTAGGATATGAGCTCCAAACACATGAAAAAACTTAGAAAAATCTAACTAAATCAGTGTCGGATAAATATTCATATTTTACACTCACACCCGAGTTCGAGTGACATAGGTTGTAGGCTTCATAATTCAGCTTGAATTTGATTAGGGTAGTCTCTTGACTTCCTTTAGGTCTGATGAACTTTGTGTTTGTAATGGTGGGGGAACTTTTTTTTTGCAGGGGGGTTGCTGTTCCATGCATACATTATAGACAAATTACACCATTATATTAAAGAACTTCGTATAAGAAGGAAGACGATGGAGACTGCCAAGAAACAAGGTCAGGGATTTGAAGATGCTGGTGGCTCGGGCACGGACAAAGTTACGGCCTTGCAGGAAGAAATAGCCACGCTGAGGGCAAGGATTAGGCAGCTGGAATCTGATTAGAGCTTGTCATATGCAAGTGGTAAGAAGAATGAAATGCCAAAGGAATTTGAGCATCTCTTGCAGTTTCACTAGTTTTTTTTCAAATAAAGTTTCCGCAGGAGTCTTGTAATGGAGTTTGATTGTTGTAGTTTAGTTTCAGTTCATGAATTGTGCCGAACAGATTAATATGTTGAATGAATCAATGGATGAGTTTTGATCTTTGATCCGAACAAAATGTTTGATACTGGAGTTACATTCGAATACGGTTTTCAGAATATGGTCCTTCAAATATCTTCCAGAATACGGTTTTCAGACACATTCTTGTATTCGATACCGTATTCATGTTCCAGTGAATTATATTTATTTCGGGACTCGAGCAGCTGAATTCAAAGTTATGCAAAAAGTCAGCATGGGATCATCGGTGTCGCACAATAGCTGATCGGCGTTGGCAGCGGTGAGCGTAGTTAAGCAAAGGAAAACCAGAAGAGACATTACTGATAACACAAACATTAACAAAGTAGCAACATGAGATCTCACCTCTACTGCGTATTGAATAGCGGCAAGGCAATGAAGGTTAATGGGAACGAGTATGCCCACCATGCAACATTAAATTTCCTCATAGATTTCTTGAAAAGAAATGGGCTACACACCTTTAAAAACCAACCACAGTAAAAATCAGTATATATATGTGTTTTTGTGTAAATGTATGTATGTTTAACGTTGTTTGCTGTGAATTTACCAGAGAAATGAAGAGGAACAGGGAGAAGAAAAACAGCATCTTCGATATGTTGTCGAAAGCTCCTGAAATGGAGTTCCAAGCAAAACTAGCCATGGTGGGAGCAGCAAAGAACATGAAAAACGTTGATCATTAACTCGTCGGAAGGGAATTCCGGCCCAACAAGCGTTGATAGAGAGTAACAAAGAGCACTAAACAGTGAACTATACCAAGTGACCACATACAAACAGCACTCTCTTTCCACCTCAGCTCCGCTGCAGCTCTAGCTGCGACCAAGTTCCCAATCACCGATATTTGACTAGTCGGTTTTGTCATTACCAACAGAAACAGTTTCTCCGTCGTTAACCATTGTCTGTATATCTTAATATCGAGCACTGCCAAAGGAACAATAAAGATCCAACAGAGATTCAGATAGAGAAAACTAGTATTCAGAAGAAGAATCGGAGCAGATTGAAGTAAAACAAGCCCTGAGATCCAAGGAGCATACATATAGATAACTCCGATATGGTGCAAGAACTCTGCCTTAACCGAGTGAAAGTGAAATCAACATTGGAGAGCGTACACGAAAGACAGTGAAACCTGTGTTAAAACAGCCAGACACCATAGCAGCAAACAAACCTTCAACAGTTCCTTGACGAAAACATGCAAAAAACACATCCGGAGAAGCCCCATCTGGTCGGGTGAAACTTAAATGGGTGAAACTTTTAATGATAAAATAATGTGTCGGATGTTGTATCCGATACGGTCGGTCCGAGTAACATAAGTCCAAGGAACTTGCTTAAGATAAAGAATGTAAGGCAAGCTAAAATACCAGAGAGGTCCACGGGGAGGAGGAACATCCAAAGCCATAAAGCCACTGATGCATTGAACTTCAGAACTTCACCAACCTTGAGGATGTACTGGATTACATAAACTCCGGAAAACCATCGTCAGTACAATGTGTTTTTGGTCGGACAGTTTGGAAACAGAAAGTTTCATGAACATTAAATAAGCAGATACAAGAGCGCCATTTCCAGAAAACTAAAGAACAATTAAGGATAGAGAGTACCTCTGTGGGGCAAGCTTAAAAACTTTGCCGCTAATAGTGAAGGAAACGGGAGGCATGGAAGAAATTTTATTGCAGTCGACAACGGATTCTCCCATTGGGTTTGGCATCCGATCGCAAAGCTCCAAAAGCATCAGATTTATGAATCAGGACGAATATAAGCAAAAACTGTAAATCGAGTCTCAGTCAAGCACATCTCACCTGGCTGGCATAGTTCAATATGCGGTCTTGTGTCTGATTATCCATCAGTTGATTCTGCATCCACACAACTGCCATTTCACAAGCAGAGCACATAGCTCCGTGAAGAATTCCAGATGATTTGCCACTGCTCTCATCTGCTGCACTCTCAATGCCCAGCTATACAATTTACACATACATTTGAACACCATTACTTGTCTGCTTTAATGATGTTTTTCTATCTTTGAATAAAGTGGAGAAAATAGAAGGTCTAATTTAGTCAAAACAAACACAAATAGATTAAACAGAGCCCTCACCTAACACCATGAGTACCATCAAAAGCGCACAATCCTATTTTGGAGCATACTTTCACGGGTTGTCCCTGTTGGAAACAATAGGAAAAAAACCAATCACCAGGTTGAAATAGTAGTGGTAGAGTGACGATCTCGCGACTGATGTTACAACAAATGAATACAAACTACTTGCAACTTTATAGGTAAATGTAAAACTAGTAGTCACCCCAGCCACAAGTAAATCGATGATGGTTTGCCCATATTGTTGAACCACTGCCTTGCACTCCTGGCTAGCCACTCCAGTAGCTCCAATTGCTTGGTTTATCATGGTAATCACAGTCTGCATCAAGCCAAACAAACAGTCAGAAATGAAATCGATAACCGGGTTAGCAAGTAACACAAACCTACAGGACTTGGCCAAAAAAAAAAGTGCAAAATTAAATACCCGGAATATTTTTAAATTTGACAACCACATTAAGCTAAGGTCAAGAAGGTTAGAAATCAACTAGATAAACAAAAGACTGAATACCAGAACTAACAAGGAAGCGTTAGGACTTACTGTTGGACCTGCCAGCAAGGAAGTTCCAGAATCTGCAACTGCTGCACAACCGCCACCACAATATCCTGAACAGCATAAACTAAGTCAGGAACACAATGATCTATTCCAAAACCATGTTTTTGCTTCAAAGAAAGTAATTAAAGATAACATTTTTAAAGTACACGAGGGATTACAAGGAACATACCAGTCGGTTTGTCACCAATAAGAACATCGCCCATGTCAAACTATATTAAAAAGGAAAGATAATTATGCAAAATGTGAAAGAATGAAGTGTGTGTGTGTATAAAGCATTTATGTGGCACATAATAATCTAAGTTTGAAAGGTCAACCTGCCAATAGCCTTTTTGTGTTACAGGGATGTATGTGTGCTTGCCCTTGTAGTGGTTTGGATCAGCCCCACCAAACACAAGTTCACCACCCACTTCTCCTTTTGTATCGCG